TTCCCTTCTTTTGGTGTTTGCAAACGTCAGGGTGGTCCTCAAATTAGGGAATTTTTAAAACTAACTTTTTTGTTTTACAAAATAAAAACATGTATTGTTTAAAAAAGTTGTAGCTAAGATAATTGCAAGCAACTTTGTCGAAGAAAATTTTTTTCTATCTCTTAACGTTCTCATTTTAGAGTAATTTTTCGGAGTTTACTCAGGGTGTTCCTGGAAAAAAAAACAGTTTTTTAGCAATAACTTTTTTATTTGAAATTTCTCATGAAAGTTATCTTCTAGAGACTTTTAAAACTCTTCAAGACAAATGTTTTATAGTGAGATTTGTTGCCTGTATCTCTTCTAATAAAAAAGATATACCCAAATATAGTAAAAAATATGAAAAAATTCAAATTGATTTTATACGAGTTTAAAAAATAACATACCTCCAATTTTGTCATATTATTGAGAATAACATACGCCCTTTTAAATGCCATAAGAAAACTTTTTTTTTGTTTGCCCCTACCAGAGATATTAACATTTGAAAAGTGCATATTTTTAGTATAAAAACGTCAATAACTCTTGATCGGCGAAAGATATCGACATACTTTGTGCAGCAAAAATTTGCGCCTTCTTAAGATCTAAAAGTTATCTAAAGACACCTTTGCTGAGAAATTCTAAATAGGAAAACTAGAGCAAAAAATCTGTTTTTTTTAAGATTCACCCTAACTCAATTCAAGAAAATGGCTCTAAATCGGCCAATTTAAGAGATACAAAAAAGTTATTTTCAACAAAGTTGCTTGAAATTAGCTCAGCTATAACTTTGCCCCAGAATGTATACCTTAGTTTATTCAAACAAAAAAGTTAGATTTTTTATTTTAATGATAATAGGCACCACCCTAGAATTCATTGTCATAAAAATGAGGGCCTAACTATAAGGAACAACTTTGTAGAAGAGACTGTTAGTCTAAAGTTTCAATGTCAGGCTCAAAACATATCATTCCACCTAAATCTGCATTCTGGACCACTCTGACGAAAAATTAATCACAAACAGTGCTGCTTGTTCGCAACATTTTCTCTTCGCGGGACTCTTATTACAACATCGCCTCTGGTCCTGACAACTTCAAACTAGGGGAATTGGATTTTTCAGTAATCAAGGGAACCCATTTTGGTCCTTGTTACTTTTTATACCTTGTTAATAGTGACAAGACTCGGGTGGTGATGAACGGACGCGATTTTTGTGTCCTCCCGTCATTTTTAAAAATTTTGTTCAATGTGAAATCCAGTAACGGTGGTAGCAATAATCAATACGAAACTAACGATTTTAAATTGGCTCACTACTTGACTAGCCTATTGGTCCCAAGCAAACGATTAACGTACCCCATTCTAGTGGAAATTCTAGTACTACACAATGTTTGTTTTGATTCGCTATGAAAGTTTGACAGATAAAATGAGGGGCTCGTGGATTTTCCTATGTTTCGAGGGGTGAATCGATTAGCGTGGGACCGACGAAGAGAGTACCAGAGCTAAGCCAAAAAGTTGAGCACGTTATTTCGGGACCTTCTAGTCTTAGAGTTACCTCTATGGTGGTAGATCACCTTTTCGTGTTGTGTTACTGGAACAAGCTTTTCACCGAACCCTAGTCCTGAACAGGAGGAGAACAGGAGTTTTCAGTGAGCAGGGGAACACACTTTAGACCTTGTTATTTTTAATGCCTTGTAAATAGTGACAAGACTCGAGTAGTTGCTGATGCTGCCATGGTGGTTGTATTTGGTGAGCTTGTTCCAAGCCTTGTTATATGTTGTTCATCATATAACTACTCAGATCACATGTTTCCAAGTGATATTGAACAACATCGCAAGGCTTTTAGACGAGACATTGAGCAATAGATTTTTTTTTAGATTGACAATATTTTGTAATCGAACTTATCTACAGCAACAATTTCGTATTACTCACGCTCTAGAACGCAAATTATTTCGGGTGGAGATGGAAAATTATCACTTCTCTCGGTTGACATCATTTGTTGTTGACTTGCCATCTTCGCGAGTAGTGTTTGTCATGAGCGGTTTTGACATTTGCTTCCAAAAGCAAAACTAATCAAATTCAATGGATGAAAACAGTGGTGCCAATTCAAATGACAATCATTTTGATTGAAAGGTGTTATACAGTATCAAATCACTTTGTTTCAAAACGCAAAAACTTAAAAGTCAATGATAAGTCACTTTGATTCGTAGTGCCGCATAACAGACTGAGTCAAGTGCAAGAGCATTTGGATTAGATGTGGCAAATTTTTACCGTGCAGTTAAAAACAACCCGTTTGTTTCCTGCAGGGATAACCTCGATCGCGCGTGATCCATTTTGCGGTTTAAGTTTGAAAATAAGAAAAGCGTTACTGTCGGTAAGAGCAACCGTACCAATGAGTAAATAAGGCACATTTACCAACCTCTACCATAACGCTACTTGCGTACCGGGGGTTGCTATACAGGTTGGGGAAATAGCAATCCGCACCTTGGGAAGTAGTGTGTTCATAAATTTAGCAACCCGGTAGCAACGCATAAGACGGTTGCTATTTTGAATAAACGCCAAAAGTTTGTTTTGCCGGTGTGGAAAACGGTAACTTAAATTATGACTCTGATAGCAACGACCGGTGTGGAGAGGAGTGATTAAGCCAAAATGGAAACGCTGTGCGTAAGTAAAATAGTGCCGCAAATGGCAACGACTGGTACGGTTGCTCTAAGGTGTGCACCAGAATGCAAGAACATAGTTGAGTCAACCAGTGGAAACTAACGATTTTAAAATTGGCTCACTACTTGACTAGCCTATTGGTCCCAAGCAAATCGATTAACTTACCCCATTCTAGTCGAAATTCTAGTACTACACTATGTTTATTTTGATTCGCTATGAAAGTTTGACAGATAGAATGAGGGGTTAGTGGATTTTCCTATGTTTCGAAGGGTGCATCGATTAGTTTGGGACCAAAGATAGTACCATTGCTGCGCCAAAAAGTTGAGCACATTTATTCAGGACCTTCTGGTCTTAGAGTTACCTCTATGGTTGAGGTTTGGGGGGGGGGGGGAAAGACATTAGGATTTATCCCAGGCTACTATTGTAGAAAATCGTAATTGATAGATATTAGGCGGAACGCTTCGGAATGTTTAGAAACAATAGGGCGCATTGGGATACATTGTTGACTGCTTTCGGAACGTGATTTCAATTGAATAGCTTGTTAAAACAGGGCTTAACCAATCGTCACGTCGGTCATAGCTTGTTATGATAGCCTGAACAATGCGTAAAGAGCAAACCGAAACATTGAACATCGTGTGAAAGTGGAGCTTAGCGAAGACCTAAATGCTTTTTCGTAGCTTTAAGTTTTAGGATTAGAAAGACCGTCGGTTACAGTGGCTTGCTTACTGAGCAGACAAACGCGGTCGGTGCTGGGTTTGAATGGTGACAACAACTCGGGTAACGGTATAATGTGATATGAGGGGCTCGGTGGCCTTAGAGCAACCGTGTTTGTTTACTGAGCAAAACATCATGATTCTAATATCAGCCTATCTACATTCAAGAGTCAATCGTTATATTTGTTAATATGACTACATGGTAATAACAGCAACTCGATTAAAAAGAAGCTTGTTTGCCTAGTAGCAAACGTTTTTGCTTGCTGAACAGAAGATCGTGGGTTCAATCCCAAGATCCTTCATGTTATGATCGTAAGGACATCAATTCAGCTTATCGTTTACCAAAACGAACCCTGCTGCAAATCCAACCCTATTACCCAATATCCCAGTGATTCCTCGTGGAAGTGCAGAGATTTTATCGGCTTCCAATAAAGCGAGTGTCACCAGATCCAGATCACCAGTTTTTACACATTGAGGATGAATTCTAGTCCCAAGAATCGTCTATTGGCTCTCTGTGTAATTACAGTTGATCTGGCAATAACAGAGTAGCAACCGTGGGCAGTCAATCATGCTCATGTTCATGCTCATGCTTGTTAATAGTGACAAGGCTCGGATGGTCACCATCTCCGTTATGATGTTTTATATTGTATTGAGGTTATTACATATCAAATTATCAATGCAAATAAAATCTGCATTACAAATGGAACCGAAATCCTAAATCTCATAAATAGAGATTAGTAACGTTGAACGCACGCACAATAGCGGGTATATCGCCGTGTAAAGTTGTTTATTATTTTCCTCTGGCTGACCTAAAAAATGTATAAAATTAGATCTGTCAAAATGAGCTTGACAGCGATTTGTCCGAGGGGGGCGACACATCTAAATCTCAATTCTAGATGCTCTACAAATCTCACACTAGCGAATCAATCTTCGAAAAATCTTCTTTGATTTCTTGTATCTACTTGCATCGCGTATCATCTTTTTGCAGGAAATCTTGAAAATCGTCATCAATCTTCTTCATATCTACTCAGCGTGCGCGCAGCTAACCACAGCAAAACACAATTTTTCCTGCATCGTAGATAGAGTCGCCCCCCTCGGATTTGTTAGTATTTTGCTCTGATTTTCACTAACACGCTCTCACATATTGCACCAATTCAACCGGACGTGAAAATCTCAATTGAGTGTGATTACATTAGCAAAAATCCCCAATCTTAGCGCCCCTCGGTGGTACTTAGTATGGGAGCGAACTGTCAATTTGTTAGTTTTGAGTCACACAGTGGTTATTTCACTTGATTTAAAAACCGAGATGGAAGTATATGGGATCTCGAAAAAATATCGCGGTGCTCAGAATACAAAGCCCTTTCAGATGATGTATAGCAACCGATATATTTTCCAAAATAAAGAACTATATTGTCCACCTCTATTGTAGCTAGTTTACTTTCTCTCCATTTTAACTAACGAGATTTTAAGCACGAATTGCTAAAGCACATCATACCGTCTGTAGAGGAGACCATCTTTTCCTTAACTATGATGAATTGAATTTTCTCTCTCTCAAACACATTTGGCTCCGTAGAGTTCAAAAGCCATTTTAACCTAACCTAATACGACCAGCATAGAAATTCATACCGTCTAAAACTCTTCCCGCACTGATTGCATCCAAAGTTCTCCTCCGGTCCGTCCGTCGGTTCTGCTGCCGGCTCACCACCTTCGTTATCCACTATTTCAATGCACTCATCTTCCTTCTTGTCCCCCTTTTCCACACTACCCGATCGGGTGCCCTTCTTCTTTCCTTCCCCATTTGTTCCACTTCCCCCACCACCACCACCACCACGGGGCTTATGCCACCTCTTGTGCGAAGCCAAGTTCGCCGGGCAGTTGAACACTTTATCACACTCCGAACACCGGTACTCAATGTGCACGATCCGCGAACACCGATGCTGTGCCAGTCCGAACGCATCGTCATACAAGGCCCGGCACAGCTGACACAAATACGAACCGATCTTGTTTTCGATCTTCGACAGAATTTCCTTCGCTTCGTCCGTTATTTCCACGACGTTGAACGCCGGATCGATGTCACCCTTGCGGACCACCAGCTCTTCCCCATCCTGCAGCTTCCGGATGAGCGTCCCCGACACCGGACTGGTGTTATCCTCGTCAACCAACTGCTTCCGTGTCTTGATTCGCCGTCGCTCCGTCTTGGGTCGATGGGAGTTGTTTTTCCCCGTCGGACGATCCTTCGTCGTCGCCGTAGCTGGCCTGTCATAGCCGACGAAACTTTGCTCGAAAAGCCGTGCGAAGCCTTCGATCGCCTGAAGGTGCAGTTTCTCGTTTTCAAAGCATCTTTGGCCATCTATGAGGACAGCCTCGCTGTTTTCCTTTTCGCTATCAACGATGTTGATCGATTCTTGACTGTCTTCGTCGTCTTCCTCGATGTTGTTGTCCAGTGATTCGACGTCGATGTTCGACGACGGAGATCGACGGGATGCCGAGGTCGAATCCTCCTGGCCGGTGATGTCGATGAATTCATCCGGTGGTTTTTCGTCCGTCGAAGTGGAAGGAGTTGGCTGAAGGGACTTGAACGGTGGTAAACGGGTCGAATCATCGAAATAGCGGAAGTGCGAGTTGGTTGAGGTTAGGGTCGTGTTGGCGTAGTATTTCTTGTTGTCGATGCAAACCGTATCGGAGAATTGGTTCGTGGATTTGACGTTGCTGTTGACGTGTTTGAGTTTCCAGTCATCCTCGTCGAAGGTTCGGCTTCGTTTACGTGGCGGAGACGGAGTTGACGGTGGAGTCATTGGCACATTCCCCTGTCGGAGGGACAAATCCAGTGGGATTTGGTACTCACTGCTGCCCAGAATTCCTGGTAGGGCGACGGGATTTTGCGGGTACAGAAACTGCTGGAAATAGTTGCCTTCCGATTGCTGCTGTTGCTGCTGTGGACTGTACGGTAGCATTCTCTGACTATCCTGAAGCAAACTCATCCTTGCACTTAGCACATCACTAGTCTTTTTTTTTTGCTTCGCTATCACAATCGGACCGGATTTCCTGCACGTTTGACGTTGTTCGCGGTGCTGCTACAACTGAACAGGTCCTGTTCCGTCACCAGCAATCGAATCCTGTCCACCACCGCGGTGTAGATTCCAGTAACAGCCAATGAATTTCTCGACGGCTACTGCGCAGGATCGTCACCGCCTACGAAGACGCGGCACAGGTGGCATCCGGAAGCGAGAGAGAACCCTACTCTCCATGCTCAACAGAACCGTACGTCGTCATCGGAAAGCAACAGGTGACATTGCATCACTGCTGGTGGTGAATCCGCAGGAACGCACGCCACCGAGCTTGCAAATAGCTTCAGGGAAAAGTCGTTTCTCTCCATTTATCTCCCGTTCGGAAAATATCTCTTGCTTACCGTTTGTAGTAACGTGGCAGCTTTCCATGTGAAGGACTCCTGGCCTAGTCACGCCCCCTTTCGGCATTGTTTATCTGCCGCCGTTTTCTAGTTGATCCTGGTCCATTTATTGCGCGATTCTGTTTATTCGTCCCACTTGGGCTGGGAAGGCGACGCAGGGGGAGAGAAGGGAGAATTGTCGTAAAATCTGATGAAATGTATGGTCTCGAGTCGACTCATCCCAGGCGGCCATGTGAGAGCGTGTGAGTATGAGGCTGGGTGGTACACATGGCCAACTATGAACGGTTGTTGAGCTGAGGAGAAATGTTATGTACCTAGATGTGAAAATGTGCTTTATTTTTCCATGGCTTGTGTCCATGGCGGGATCCAGGAATGCTGATGGAGATATTTTGACTCGGTGCTGGTGCCAGGGGAATGAGTACAGGTTGGTTCCGCACACATGTGGGTGGGTGGATTGCTGGATTGTGACGGAGGTGGCGCTTCTGGAATGCTCTTTCACTTGACATGGGTGTGAATTGGAGCAGATTCATGTGTGGAGGAGTTTTCTCGGAAATTGAGGTTTTTGCCTGTTCTCTGCGAGTGGGATGGAAAAATAAATGGAGGATTGCAGGTTGTGGGGATTCAGCCATTTTGTGTGGGGAATAGCTTCAAACGGTGTACGGACGTTGAAAATGGGTTATTTAGTGAGCAAATTGCACATTTATGAAAGCCATTAATATGTTATGGGTTCCATCAACCAATTTTGCAAGTTCCACGATTTCATTCTATTTTAACGCATGCATAGCGAGTAATGAACAGCATGCTGGAAAATATCAAGCATTTTACGCTCACCATAATTTAAATCAATCAACCCCAGGTTTGACGTTAGGCTCTTACCGCTTTTATGGCGCTGTTGTAGGAGGCTCTGATATATAAAAAGAAAATATATTAGTCGACAGAAAATTTTCTTCGAATCTTCAACAACGAAAAATATTGATACAGTTGAATTTCAAATAAATTAATCTATAGTAAGTCGAGTCAAGCAATAATTATGGGTAACTTTTCCCTAGTCGAATGTTGCAGCATCCATTGCAGAATTTATCGATCCGCAGATAAAACCGGAGACATGTTTACCATTCCTCATATCCGGAAATATTTTTGTGAGTTTCCGAAATTACCAATGATGAAATATCTGTAATCGTTTGGTTACAAGTTCATAGGTTTTTGTCGTTTATGTTATATAATCAAAACCTTCACGTTTCTTGTGCAAGAACAGCATTATACCACAGAAGTGATAGGGTTCTATACCGCTGTGAAAATGTTGAGCCGTTACGTTATGTCCATCATACAAACATATGCATAGGCCAAAACACAATATGGCTAAACTAGGATGACAGGATGAGGAAAATTTGTTAAAAGAACGGCCATTGCCCAAAACCGGCCTCTTTTAATATCAGGCGTCCGTGTGCTAAGACGCATTTTAATTAACTAACTAGTGCAGTGGTAAAAGTTAAACGCGACCCCAGACCTTTCTGCAACCAATTTTGCTGCTTTTGTCCAAGATTTTCGAAATTTGTTTGTTGTTTGCACTGGGAGAGCACTCTCTTCACCAGAACCCAATATCGCTCGATAGGACGTAACTCCGGGCAGTTAAGTGGAATCGCCTCCTTTGGTACAACATGGACTCCATTCGCTTCATTTCGTCAAATATTCAATTTCGTCAAATATTTGCGATACAATTTACGTGCACGTGTTTTGGCCGTCACATTCTGCTTATCATTGTGGTTCGGCATAGTTTTCAACTTGGATGACATCATTCCTTGTCGATGTTTCGAAGTATGCACGAAAGTTGGCGACATTTTTATTTTCCGAGCAACAGTATGTACCGAAAAGTCTGGCTTTCTATATAATATTTGTTTCACCTTCACGTCCCTCTTCCTAGCTGTTTTTAACCAAGTATCGAACGATTTTAAAACGTTGTGAACAGTGCTTGCAGGAAAACCTTCTGATTGAGAGATCCGGATTTTCATTGCGGCCGCACACAATTGCTTTTCGGACTTAAGGCCGGCGCACAATGGATAAGTTTTCAGGTTTTTTGACAGTTAGCTCATTTATTATCTGTCAAAAGATCCGGAAACTTATGTATTGTGCGCCAGCCTTTACTCTTCTTTCGAAACCATTTCCGATTAAGCTCTTCTAATGTAAACAAAGGCTGTATTTTCAGAAATACGTCCACCACTCTGCGAAATATTTCACCCGTTGATGAGATAGTTCAGGAGATATTTGTGTTTAGGGGTGTCCAGATTACGTCGCGAACAAGCCTTGCTCAGTACGGAAACAAGATCAACGGAAAACAAATCAAATAAAATAAGATTGAACTTCACCAAAACTGAACCATATAGGGGAAACGCTCCTATAGTTGCGGTACGTTAGAAGCGTTAGGTTCCTATAGTTGTGCATGGATACTCAATACACAACTATAGGAACCTAACGCTTCTAACATACCGCAACTATGGGAGCGTTTACCCTAGTATGAATCCTTTAGCTCTGTTGCTGCTAGGGTGGGGTACCTAGGGGGCTACCAGGACAAACACCTCGGCGGGCTTAACTAAGCAACGGCCTACCAATGAGGGTGGGTCATTCAACGACCTCTTTTAATGGCTAGCTCGATCTGGAGGGCAATTCTTAGCCTCAAGGTCGGCTGGAGTGATTTACCGGGCTAATCAGGACTCGGATATAGTGTGATTGAAGGGAAAAAGCTACTGAATTACACTTTAGAGGTTTATTTCCCAACCAATTACATTCTATGGGTGTGTGTGTGTGGCGTGTATAGTGTAGGTTTTCTTCAGATACCTGGCCGGCCGGCGACTGCTGGGTCTTTTGTGCGGTGATGCTGCACGTGGTGGTGGTTGATACGGCGGTGGTGATGCTGTACAGGCTGGTGGTGGATTCGGCGTTGTTAACGTCCGTAGTGGCGGCGATTATGGTGGTGACGCTGGCCGTGGTTACACCGGAGACTACGGTGTTGGTGATGGTGACGGTGGTTCCTTAAGGGCGTTTGGTGGCGCCAGTAGGTATGCCAAGTCACAATGGTGGACTGTGGAGAGGTGTCTTCTTCGGTGGGAGGTTATGTCCCGGCACCTTACACGGGGCAAGGTTGCAAAGACTCATTTCAGCTAAAATAATGTTTTTCGGAATAATAAAACCAAAAGATGGTATGATGGCATGTTTTACTTGTAACTTACAAGAAGAGGTTACAAAGTATGCGTTGGAAACATAAAACCTGTAAATTTTGCTTTCTATGAGTCACAATCAGCGATTTGCTGATCGCTGAGTGAGTGAGTGAGTGAGTGAGTGAGTTTGTGAAAAATCGCTGATTGTGACTCTCGTGAAGTGAAATAAACAGGTTTAATATATCAAACACATTCTTTGCAACGTCTTCTTGTTTCCTACCAATTCAAAATTTGATCATGGCATCTAATTATTTCATAATTTAGAAAAACATTGTTTTAGCTGAAATGAGTCTTTGCAACCTTGACACGGGGTACTGGCGGGTCCCTCTCATGATTCTGTGGCTCTGCGGGAACGATCGGGGTATGAATTCGGTTGGAACTCGTTCGGAACGGAAAGGTCCAAAGTGGTCCTATCCTCCGGGCCGTCGAACGGAACTGGCTCTCCAGCGGTCAATCGCTCACGGAAGGCCTGTCGGCGTGATCTGGCCGAACCCCTCGATCGAGCGTTCTTAATAGGAAAACTTAACGGGTCCTATAGTGCACAAAAGAAACGGTCTTAGGCCCGATTGTGACATGTGACCTTTTCAATCCCTGTACCATACCTGACTCTCTCGCTCCACTCCTGCTCTTACTTTTCTTCTCTATAATTTTAACGGTTTTTTTAGATTGTTCAACTGCTCTCGTTTAAGGTTACTTGGCAAGTGGCGGAAGAAGTTTCCGTGCTACTCGCCGTTCCCTTTCTCTGTACTTCACGTACCCATTCTCTTATGTTCCACTGAACTCAAATTTTTGGCTCATCACCTATTCCAGCAGTTGGTAGTAAACTGTGGTACTGTATAGTGTACTAAAACTAGGGGTATCAAATTGGCAATTATTATTTAAATTCAAATGGACATGCAGAATACGATAAACATACAGAAATACATCAACAAATGTTACAAACGGTAACAGCTCCTCCTGCGATGCGTAATGCCAATGAATCAACTTCCTTTACATTCGAGGTGCAATATCAATGATCTCAACTCGACATTGTCTTTAAATTGTAATTTAAATTATTTATATGGAGATTTGAACCTCGCCGGCATTTATTCATTTATTCTATCTATCTATCTATCTATCTATCTATCTATCTATCTATCTATCTATCTATCTATCTATCTATCTATCTATCTATCTATCTCTCTATCTATCTATCTATCTATCTATCTATCCATCTATTTATTTATTTATTTATTTATTTATTTATTTATTTATTTATTTATTTATTTATTTATTTATTTATTTATTTATTTATTTATTTATTTATTTATTTATTTATTTATTTATTTATTTATTTATTTATTTATTTATTTATTTATTTATTTATTTATTTATTTATTTATTTATTTATTTATTTATTTATTTATT